GGTCTTTAGGAGCCCCCCCTCAGTCTCCTCAGCAGGAAGAGTCTGCTCTGACCTTTCTGATATACACGCAAACCTGAGGAAAGGTCTTAATCAGAACATTAAAAAGACCAGAGATCAGCTCACTGAGACCAGATGAAACACTGCTGTGGTCCACCTTCCTTTTCTATCATCAGCCCCTCCAGGAGGAAGGAGAGAGCAGCCTGACACGACACGTCCACTTCGGCAAGAAGCCGAGGCACAGAATAGGTCTGCAGCGTGGCCCAGGTCCAGCGCTCCACTCACACACACACACACACACACACCAAGCGTGACCTGTCTAAATGACTGAGAGATGGAGATAAAGACCCAGAGTAACAGAGGTGGAGAGCAGGAGTAATGCAAGCATTCTGGCCCGGGTTCAGGAGTTTTCTTCAGGCCCAGGAGGTTTTATTTGGAACAATCTGTTTCCATGATATGGTCAAAGTTTCAGATGGAAAAATCTAATAAAGCAACTGAAAATAAAAGGTTGTTGGTTTGCAAATATCAGATTTACCTTAGTGTTGCATTTGTAAACAGGATGAGTGATGGTCTCTACGAAGTGGTGCCTCATGCAGCGCTCTGGGTCAGTGTCAACCAGCTGCTGGTGCCCCTTATCACCAGCCTTGCTGCTGCTGGCAGCCTGAACGAAGCCCAGTAGGGGACAACAGATCAGGACCAGCAGGAGTCCGGAAGGAGGGCCGGCAGAGATGGACGGTTTCATGGCTGTGACACCCTGACGCTGCGCAGGTGGCCAAGGCGTCAGAACCGCTGTCCCTCTGGCTCTCTCCCACCTGGCTTAGCAGAGTCTCGCTCTTCTTATTGCGTCCCTGATGCTGTTCAGCAGCCTGTAGGGAAAGAGGGGGGCAGGTGTTCAGGCCACTCCATCCCTCGCTGCCTCAGTCCATCTCAGTCTGAAAGAACGAAGAAAACACAAAGACATGGTTTCAAACAGAAGGTCAGAAAATGGCAGAACTGGAAAAGTTTATTTATTTCATCAAAGGTGGTTTATCAATGTTGCTATGGTTACAGGGAGGAGTGTGTGAATGAACAGGTTAATAGGGATGATGTGTGTTTAAGGTGGGTTCATTTTCCTTCCCAGTCAGTTTCAGATCTGCTGTAACTTAACTAATGACCTGTTAATGTAATTCCCTGTATTTTAGATGGTCCCTAAATTCAGGAGAAAACATTATTTTTGAGGATTTTGATGGAAAGCACCTTTGACCATGACTTTTTCCTGCCTCACAGTGTCACTTGCATTTTGTTCAGGGATTTGACTAGGCCGTTCTAACACAGTGAAGATACTTTGACCTAAACATTTCCGTTACATCTGTGTGTGTGTTTAGGGTCCCTGTCCTGCCGTAGGGTGAACCTCCATGCTGTGTCTGCTGCAGCCTCTAGCAGGACTCCTCTGATTTCTATTCAGCTCCATTCATCTTCTCCTCACCTCTGTGCTGCTGTCTGTGCAGCAGGACAGCTTCAGTGGGATGTAGAACTGATGCTGACTCCATCAACAGATCCTTCTACCTGAGCTGTGCTTCTAACCTTTATTCTGATCTCAATCAAGCTAAGAATTTATGAATAAATTTATTTAAGACTAGAAAACTGTTCATAAAAACTGAACATTTTTTTTTTATTTTAGTCTTTCGTCTGGAAAATGAGAGGCTAACTTGGCTAATTTGGTTCTGGATGTGCAGAGCAGCTCTAACTGTGAACATTCTTTGACACTCTAGAATTCCAGCTCTACTTTCTAGGAATCTGGTCAAATTTATTTTTTATGTCAGGGTTCTGCAGCTTCTCTACTGTTACCCACTCCATCCAGACAGTGTCTTGCCCACAGGAGTAAAAGGAGTAAATCATGATAATCTAATTATTAATAAAATAACTCCAATTCGGGAAAAAGTTAAAACGATTAAATGTGGTCTGTCTAACATAAAATCTCTTTCCTCTAAAAGTCTGCTAGTTAATGACTTGATTTGTGATAATCACATTGACTTGTGTTGCCTTACAGAAACCTGG